ACAAGAAAACAGCACTGGCTGGTGTGGCTCAGTGGATTGAGCACCCACCTGAGAACCGAAAGGTCTCCAATTTGATTCTCAGTCAGGACACATGCCTGGGTGGTGGGCCAGGTCCCTAGTTGAGGTCATATGAGAGGCAACCAGTCAATATATCTCTCACACAGTGATGTTACTCTTCCTTCCTTATACCTACAGGTAGAATTCCTGGATAATGTGGTGGTTTTATTTTAATTTTTTGAGAAATCAACATACTATTTTCTATAGCAACCATACAACTTTGTGTTCCTACCAGTAGTGCATAAGATTCCAATTTTTCCATATCCTCACCAACATTTATTATACTCTGGGTTCTGTGGGTTTTGTTTTTGTTTCTGTTTTGTTTTGGTTTTTTGATAGTAGATATCCTAACGGGTGTGAGTGAGGTGCTATCTTCTTATACTTTTGGATTGTATTTCCCTGATGATTAGTGTTCTGGAGCATCTTGTAATATGCTTATTGACCATTTGTATATCTTTATTGGAGAATGTCTATTCAAGTGCTTTTGCTCAGTTTTTTTTTTTAAGTTTATTTGCTTATTTTAGTGAGCCATTTACAGCATAAATTTTATCTTCTTAACTATTTTTAAGTGTATGGTTCAGTGGCATTAAGTACTTTCACATTGTTCTTCAGTCACTCTCTAGAACTTCCATCTTGCAAAACTGGGACTCTGTACCCATTAAACAACTACCCATTTGAGGCTTTTTCTTGTTGTTGTTGTTGTTGTTCAAGTACAGTTGTCTCCATTTTCCCCACACCACTCCCCGCCACCCTGCCCATCCCCACCTCCCGTCCTTTCTCTTAACCTCTTTGGCTTTGTCCATGTGTCGTTTATACATGTTCCTTGATGACCCTTCCCATTTCTCCCCCATTACTCCCTCCTCCCTCCCCTCTGGTTACTGTCAGTTTCTTCTGTATTTGAATGTCTGGTTATATTTTGCTTATTTGTTTTGTTGATTAGGTTCCACTTATAGATGAGATCATATGGTATTTGTCTTTCTCCATCTGACTTATTTCACTTAGCATAATGCTCTCTGGTTCCATACTGTTGCAAATGGTAGAAGCTCCTTCTTTCTTTCTGCTGTGCACTTAGCTATTGTAAATTGTGCTGCTATGGACATTAGGGTACATACGTTCTTTTGGATCGGTGTTTCAGGGTTCTTAGGATATAATCCTAGCAGTGGAACTGCCAGGTGAAAAGACAGTTCTATTTTTAGTTTTTTGAGGAAATTCCATACTGTTTTCTATAGTGACTGCACCAGTCTGCATTCCCATAAGCAGGGCACTAGCGTTTCCTTTTCCCTACAACCTCACCAGCACTTATTGCTTGTTGATTTGTTTATGATGGCCGTTCTGACAGGTGTGAAGTGGTATCTCATTGTGACTTTAATTTGCATTTCTCTGATGGTTAGTGATGCTGAGCATCCTTTCTTATGTCTCTGGGCCCTCTGTATGTCCTCCTTAGAGAAGTATCTGTTCAGGTCCTTTGCCCATATTTTAATTCGATTGTTTTTCTTCCTGGAATGGAGTTGTGTGAGTTCTTCATATATTTTGGAGATCAAACCCTTGTCCCAAAGCAATTTATAGATTCAACACAATCTCTATTAAGATACAAATGACATATTTCATAACTGTGTAACAAACATTTCAAAAATTTATATGGAACCATAAATAACCCCAAATAGTTGCAACAATTTTGAGAAAGAAGAACAGAGTAGGAGAGAATCACAATTGCTGACATCAAACTATATTACAAGGCCACAGTAATCAAAACAATCTAGTATTGGCATAAGAACAGACACATAGATCAATGGAACACAACAGAGAGCCCAGAAATAAACCCATGTCTCTATGGTCAATTAGTATATGACAAAGGGGACAGAAGCATAAAATGGAGTAAAAATGGCCTCTTTAACAAATGGTGTTGGGAGAACTGGACAGCTATATGCAAAAAAATGAAACTCGGAGTTTGGGCCAAAATGGAGGCATAGGAAGAAACAATTCGCTTCCTCGCACAACCAAAGGAGGATAACGACCAATCTAAAATCAATAAACAACCAGAAGTGCTGGGAAATCAAACTTCATGGAACTCTGACAACCAAGGAATTAAAGAAACAGTCAGCCAGACCAACCAGACCAGTAAGACAGGCTGACAGAGAGAATCCGCGACAAGGCAGCAGACCATGCAGGCGGGCCTGGCTAAAGGGGAAACCGAGACTCAGAGCTGACTGTAGAATACAGTGGGGGTTGCTGCAGTGGGATAAACTCCCAGTCTCACACGAGGGTTTGCTGGAAAGTGGGGCTAAAGTGGAGCAGGTAAGCTGCACTGTTCCCTCTCTGGCCCCTCCCCCACTGACTGTGCCACAGTGTAGCAAGGAGAGTTGCCCTGCCCTGGTGAACAGCTAAGGCCCCGCCCCCTTGAACCTAACAGGTGCATGGAGACAGAAATAGGGCCCAAACAAAAGAATAGAGCAAAACTCCATAAAGAGGCTTAAGCGATGAGGAGATAGCCAACCTATCTGATGGAGAGTTCAAAGCCCTGGTAATCAGAATGCTCACACAACTGATTGAGCTTGGTCGAAAAATGAAAGAATAAATGTAGGATGCTCAAAGTGAACCTCAGGGAACCAACTGTGACAGGAAGGAAACCAGGACACAAATCAATGATTTGAAACAAACATTCAACCAGAACAGAATGAAAAAACAAGAATTCAAAATTATTAAGAGAGGCTTATGAACCTCTGGGACAACTTTAAACATTCCAATATCCTAATTATAGGGATGCCAGAAGGAGAAGAACAAGAACAAGAAATAGAAAGCTTATTTAAACAAATAATGAAGGAAAACTTCCCCAATCTGCCAAAGGAAATAGACTTCCAGGAAGTCCAGGAAGCCCCAAAGAAGTTGGACCCAAAGAGGAACACAGCAAAGCACATCATCATCAAGATATCCAAGATTAAAAATAGTGAATCTTAAAACCAGCAAGAGTAAAGGAGAGAGTTACTACAAAGGAGTGCTCATAAGGCTATCAGCTGATTTCTCAAAAGAAACCTTGCAGGCAAGAAGGGGCTGGCAAGAAGTATACACCGTCATGAAAGGCAAGGACCTATACCCAAGGTTACTTTATCCAGCAAAGCTATCATTTAGAATGCAAGGGAAGATAAAGTGCTTCCCAGAAGAGGTCAAGTTAAAGTAGTTCATCATCACCAAGCCATTATTATATGAAATGTTAAAGGGACATATCTAAGAAATTGAAGAAGATCAGAAACTATGACTAGTAAAATGACAACAAACTTACAACTATCAACAAATGAACCTAAAAAAAGAAGAAAAAAAACAATGAAAACAAAAATTAACCAAACAACTAGAACAGGAAGAGAACCAGAGAAATGGACATCACATGGAGCATTTTCAGTGGGGAATGGGAAGGGAGGAATGGGGAGGAAAGGTTCAGGAAAGAAGTATATAATCTAATCGGTAGGCATAAAATAGACAGGAAAGGTAAAAAATGGTATAGGAAACTCAAAGAACTTACCTGTACAACCCATGGAGATGAACGAAGTGGGGGATACTGGAGGGTTGGGGAGTACAGGGCTGAGGGGGGATAAAGAGGAGAAAATTGGGAAAACTGTAATAGCATAATCAATAAAATATACTTTAAAAAATAAAGTGAAAGAGTAGGGTCACATTTGAAATGATTTAGGTTCAAGGCTTTCAATTCCAGAGATGGGAAGGCAGGGCACCATGGCAGGAGGGTTTGACAAGGGATAGCAAATGTGTTATAACTCTTGTCCTAGAATTTAACCTCAATTTGTGATGGTTTATTTATAAAGTGGGGATGTATCACTTCCCTTATACAATTATCATGAAAATTAAATTATATTGTGTATGTAAAATTATTCTTTGTGAAGTGAGTGGTAAATGAATTTGGCAAATTTAAAAAAAAAAAAAAAACAAACTCAACCACCAACTTACACCATACACAAAAATAAGCTCAAGGTGGATAAAAGACTTTAAATATAAGTTGCAACACCATAAAAGTCCTAGAGGAGAACACAGGCAGGAACAGTTCAGATATTCCACGCAGCAGTATTTTCACCTCTGTGTCCCCTGGAGCAAGGGACATAAAGGAAAGAATCAACAAATGGGAGTTCATCAAAATAAAAGGCTTCTGCATGGCTAAAGAAAACATCAGCAAAATGAAAAGGGAACCAACTGTATGGGAAAATATATTCACAAATGATACCTCGAGCAAGGGTTTGATCCCTATTTCCTTTTTTTAAATGTTTAATCATTTTTTCCCAAAATAAAATAGTTTATTTTTAGCTAGCCTTTATTGTGTTTTAAAAACCTATTTTACAGAAATTTTGAATTTTACATGTATGAATACTTTGACCAACATTGAAGAGGGTTTTCACTTAGTTCATCAATGAAATGTTAAATATTCATACATTCTCTTTAGAGATATATAGGACTAATAAATACCTATCTACTAACAACTGTAGGAAAACATGTGGGAGCTTGAAGCCAGATGAATTGGGTTGGTGTTTAACTTTGCATCTCTCTGATTTTGAACATCTGAGCCATAGCACACTTACGTAAAATGAAGAATAACAGTAAAGGGTCTTAAAAATCTTTTTCCGGTAAATATGAGGTCTTACATAAGTCTAAAAAGTGTATACAGGAATTCTTCCATCTTTAACAAACTCATTTTATTTTGATTAAAAACATGTTCCATTTATTGTAGGTATGTTCTTTAATTGTTTCTGTGAATAACTTCTATTTTTTATCTACTTATGGATTTTGACTAGACTTAATTTGGTGGTCATTTCACAATATATACAAATATCGAATCATGTTGTGCACCTGCAACTAATGTTATTTGTCAATTATATCTCATTTTAAAACTATAAAGAATTGTTTCTGTGAATAACCATTTCTTTCTTTATTTTTTTAATCAAAAGGCATGGCTTTGGGAAGAAGACAAGAATCTGAGATCTGGGGTGAGGAAATATGGAGAAGGAAACTGGTCTAAAATACTATTACATTATAAATTCAACAATCGAACGAGTGTCATGTTAAAAGACAGATGGAGGACTATGAAGAAGCTAAAATTGATTTGCTCAGACAGTGATGACTGAATATGTAAAAGTTTGATAAACGGACAGTTAAATATTTTGATCATCATGTTTTGTTTGAAACTGGGTGGTCATAGATATATCTTAAAATTTGTGTTTAAAGCATTATAGTATTTTTCTGAGACAGTCAATATGAGGATTTGTGTTATGAGTAATATGCCATCACTGTATTCTTTAAGAGCCTTTTACTTGGTAAAATGTAAATATGTCAACCCTGATGTTTTCATTACCTTTATCCCCAAATCCTGTACCGATTAAAAAAAAAATGAAAACTTGGTGAAAGAAAAAATATTTCTGCTAATCTATTTTGTGTCTATATGCTGACTTCAACTCCAAAACATCCACATAAAAGTGAAGTTACTAAATCAGTGAATAATAATAGGCCTTAGATTCATGGCCTTGATATAGTAATTACTAAGATATTTGTTTATACAATGGTTCAAAGTAATATTTGAGTTTTAACATACTTAAACTTTACTTTCAGTAGTTTTATGTAAAGGAAAAAACTTTAATAGTAATACCCATTGGGCAAAATTTGTACTATTAACAAGATTTGCTTCATGTATAGTTTAGATACATTTGATTGTTTTTGTTCCAGTGTTAAAACTTTGACAAAGATGGTTTTAAATAAGCTTATTTATAACCTGGTGCCATAATATAATTTTCTCTGATATTTTTAATATATCAACAGTGTGCCTAAACAATGTTCTGTAAATGCCCACATTGATATTAACCATGATCATTTTCACACCTCTGATAAATACTGAATAAGTAAGGTCACACATACCTTACTAGATAATTTTGAGTTCTCACTAACATATAATGCTTTATAGAATTAGTCTAGAACTCATATAGTCATTTAGCATTTTGAGTTGCATGTGCTTTATTTAATGAGTGAAAATACTGATGTAGTTGCATAACTACAGTTGATAGTATTTTATAATGTTTCATTTCTTCTTCCATTGTACATTACTGCCCCCTTGATCCTGAATTTGTTGTCCTATACATGTAGTAAACAGAAATGTAGGTGATTACTATATGCTTCCTAATTCAGTAGTTTTTTACATTAGTAACTGTCACTGTTTATGGAAGACATTTTGATGGTCAGTATCACAAGCAGCATGAGCCAAAGTGGACCTGTATGTCAACTTTCTCATTTCAAGCATGCAATAACTAATCATATCGAACTTCCAGGCAAGATGGAGGCATAGATAGATACACTGTACCTCCTCATACAACCAAAAGAAGGACAACAAATTTAAAAACAAAAAATAACCAGAACTGACAGAAAATGAAACTGTATGGATGTCTGACAACCAAGGTATTAAAGAAGAAATTCACCCAAATCAGTAGGAGAGGTGGAGACAGGCAGCCAGGAGGACTCTCAGTAAGGTGGTGGCTGGCACACTGGGCAGTCCCACATTTGCATGTGGAGGAACAACTGGGGAGTGAGAGACCGTGCAACCCAGGGTTCCTGTGGGAAAATAGAGCCTCAAACCTCTGACTGGAAAAACTTGTGGGAGTTAAGGCAACAGGAAAAACTCCCAGCCTCACAGGAGAGTTCGTTTGAGGGATGCACAGGGTCCTGGAACATATACGAACCCACTCACCCAGGAATCAGCACCAGAAGGACCCACTTTGCTTGTGGGTAGCAGAGGAAGTGACTGAAAGCTGGCTGAGAGGCAAGCAAGCAGCATTGTTCCCTCTTGGACTTCTCCTCTACTAATAGCATCACAACAAAGCCACTCGGGTTGCCCTGTTCTGATGAACACCTAAGGCTCCACCCCTTACTAAGAAACAGGTGCACCAAGAAAAAAAAAATGGCCCGAATGAAAGAACAGATCAAAGCTACTGAAAAAATACAATTAAGCAACAAAAGATAGCAAACTTATCAGATGTACAGTTCAAAACACTAGTAATCAGGATGCTCACAAAAATGGTTGGGTATGGTTGCAAAGTAGAACAAAAAGTAAAGGCTGTGAAAAGTGAAATAAAGAAAAATGTACAGGGAACCAACAGTGAGGGGAAGGAAACCAGGACTCAAATGAACAGTTTGGAGCAGAAGGAAGAAACAATTCAAAAAAATGAAGAGAGGTTTAGGAACCTCTAGGACATGTTTAAACATTCCAACATCCAAATCATAGGGGTGCCAGAAGGAGACAAGCAACAGCAAGAAATTGAAAACTTACTTGAAAAATTAATGAAAGAACTTCCCCAATCTGGCAAAGGAAACAAACTTCCAGAAAGTACAAGAAACCCAGAGACACACAAAGAAGTTGGACCCGAGTAAGCACACACCAAGGAACATAATTTCATTACCCAAGATTAAACATAAGGGGAGAATCTTAAAAGCAACAAGAGAAAAAAAAAGACAGTCCCATCAGACTGTCAACTGATTTCTCCAAAGAAACCTTGCAGGCAAGAAGGGGCTGGAAAGAAGTATTCAAAGTCATGAGAGCCAAGGACCTACATCCAAGATTGCTCTATCCAGCAAAATTTTCATTTAGAATGGAAGGGCAGATAAAGTGCTTCTCAGATAAGGTCAAGTTAAAGGAGTTCATCATCAAAAAGGCCTTATTACATGAAATGTTAAAGAGACTTATCTAAGAAAAAAGGTAAGAACTATGAACAGTAAAATGACAACAAACACAACTCTCAACAACTGAACCTAAAGAAAGCAAAACAAAAATGAACTGAGCAAACAACTAGAACAGGAACAGAATCACAGAAATGGAGATCACATGGAGGGTTAATCAGTGGGGGAGTGACAGGAGGAAAGTGTACAGGGAATAAGAAGCATGAATAGTAGCTACAAAACAGACTGGGAAGTTGAGTACAGTGTAAGAAATGGAGAAACCTAAGAACGTACATGTATGGCCCATGGACATGAACTAAAGGGGGGAAGTGATGGTGGGATGGGGGATACAGGGTGGAGGGGAATAAAGGGAAGAAAATGTAGTAGCATAATCAATAAAACCTTTTTTTAAATAATCAGATCTAAGTTGCCATTGACTATAAGATGCTCAATTATTTTTATGTGCCACTAAAAAAGATTACTATCAATTATACTATGGTATGATGCTTTATTTAGAATTTTACTTATTAAAAGCTATTTTAGATTTAATTAAAATGTGTATTTTTATCACATATCTTCTGGAAACAAAGAAAGCAAAATAAATTGAATAATGTATTTTTAAAACATCTTAAATCTGAATTTCTGAATTCATTACATTGAAATTTTTTAGATAATTATATTTTCACATGGAGTTGTAAGAAATAATACAGAGGTTCCTGGTACACTTGTTCCAGTTTCTCCCAGTATTAATGTGTAAAACTAAAGAATATTGATACAATCCATCAATCTTACTCAGATTTATCCAGTTTTACTTGTACTGTATTTAAGTAATTATCATTTGTGTAGGTTTGTTTACCACCACAGGCAAAGCACTGATCAGCTTCAATGCCAGATCGCTCCTGTTGCCTCTCATGTCCCTCTTCCATCATTCCTCTAACCCCTAGCAACCACTAATCTATCCTCTATTTCTAAAATTTAATCATTTAGAAGTTACATATTGACATCACCGAAAATGGAGTAGGGAGCTCCAAAGATCCTTCTGTTGATGCAACTATTAAACTGTCAAAAACTGTTAGAATTGACTTTTGTAACGGGAATCTAATCAAAACCTCAAACAATCGTGGAGTATTATGAGGAAAGACACCACTGAATTTGGTAAGATTTTGGTGTTTTTGCTTACTCTGCTTATAAGGACAGCAGCACGTTACTTGGTGAAGCTTGCCTGTGCCAGAGAGGGTAGTGCAGATCCTGTACTCAGAAAATTGTGGTCATGTGTTTTGACCTGTTTGGGGATTTAATTCAGAGGCTTGCCTTTGTTTTGCCCCCTCTAAATTCTCGACCTTAAAACATTACCTAGAGCTTGCTACCTGAAGTCAGGGACCCCAGAGAAGGCAAGCAGCAGACAGACTGGAAATCCTACAGGGGAAGATAAGGGGGTGAGGGCTCTGAAGGACCAGAGTAAACCAGGGAATCTAGAAGGCCTGCCACATGCCCAGAATTAGATGCAGTCTCAGAAAAGACCTGTGAGGTTCCTAGGCCTCCACCTTTGAAGGATCTTTTGGGCTTCACATGTGCTGGAGGTGAAGGCTAACTCAGAGGTAGCAGTAGCCTGGCTAAACATTGAAAGAGCACCCCCCGCTCAGAGGCAATCCGCAAAGGCAGGAGAATATCTTGTTTTTCTTTCTGACCTGAGACATTTACTGAAATTAAATGAAATATTCCATGTATTCTTTGCTCTTTTTAAAATAATTTATTGATTATGCTATTACAGTTGTCCCATTTCCCCCCTTTTTTCCCCTCCACCCTGCATACCACCTCCCACCCACATTCCTCCCCTTTAGTTCATGTCCATGGGTCGGTCATATACATTCTTAGGTTTCTCCATTTCCTATACTATTCTTAACCTCCCCCTGTCTATTTTGTGCCTACTATTTATGCTATTTATTCTCTGTACCTTTTCCCCCTCTCCCCTCCCACTCTCCCAGTGATTAATCCTCCGTGTGATCTCCATTTCTGTGATCCTGTTCCTGTTCTAGTTGTTTGCTCAGTTCACTTTTTTTGTTGTTTTCTTTAGGTTCAGTTCTTGATAGTTGTGAGTTTGTTGTCATTTTACTGTTCACAGTTCTTACCTTCTTAGATAAGTCTTTTTAACATTTCATGTAATAGGGCTTATTGATGATAAACTTCTTTAACTTGACCTTCTCTGGAAAGCACTTAATCTGCCCTCCCATTCTAAATGATAGCTTTACTGGATAGAGTAATCTTGGATGTAGGTCCTTGTCTCTCATGACTGAATACTTCTTTCCATCCCCTTCCTTGCCTGCAAGGTTTCTTTGGAGAAATCAGCTGACAGTCATGGGAATTCCTTTGTAAGTAACTATCTCCTTTTCTCTTGCTGCTTTTAAGATTCTCCCCTTATCTTTAATCTTGGGTAATGTAATTATGATGTTTCTTGGTATGTGCTTCCTTGGGTCCAGCTTCTTTGGGACTCTCTGAGTTTCTTGGACTTTCTGGAAGTCTGTTTCCTTTGCCAGACTGGGGAAGTTCTCTTTCATTATTTGTTCAAATAAATTTTAAATTTCTTTCCCTTCCTCTTCTCCTTCTGGCACCGCTATGATTCAATGTTGGAATGTTTAAAGTTGTCCTGAAAGTTCCTAAGCCTCTCCTTACTTTTTTAAATTCTTGTTTTTTCATTGTGTTCTGTTCTGGTTGAATGTTTGGCCCAGACCATTGATTTGAATACCAGTTTCCTTCCCGTCACTATTGGTTCCTTGTACATTTTTATTTACTAGGCATAGCCTTCATTTTTTCTTCTAATTTGTGACCATATTCAACCAAGTCTGTAAGCATCCTGATTACCAGCATTTTGAACTGTGCATCTGATAGGTTGGCTATGTCTTCATCAGTTAATTGTATTTTTTCTGGAGCTTTGATCTTTTCTTTCATTTGGGCTTTTTTTTTTTTTGTCTCAGCACACCTGTTTCTTAGAAAGGGGCAGAGCCTTAGATATTCACCAGGGCAGGACAACCCAAGTCGCTATGTTGATGCTCTCAGTGAAGAGGAGTCCAAAAGGGAACAGTGCTGCTTGCCCCACTCTCTGCTGGTTTTCAATCACTTCCCCCACTACCCCCAATAAAATTGGGCCCTTCTGGTGCTGATTCCTGGGTGGGTGGGTTTGTGTATGTTCTAGGACCCTGTGGGTCTCTCCAATGAACTCTCCTGTGAGGCTGGGAGTTTCTTCCACTGCTGCCTCAAACCCCACAGGTGTTTTCAATCAGAGCCTTGAGAATTTATTTCACTGTGCTGGAACCCTGAGTTGCACGGTCTGTCTCACTCCCCAGTTGTTCCTCCTGGTTTATCTGCATGCAGATGTGCAACCACCAGTCTGCAATCCGCTGCCTTGCTGGGTCTGCCAGCTGCCACCTAACCTGGAGTGTTCTCTGCCCAGTTGCCCATCCCTGCCTCTTCTACCGGTCGGGATGAATGTTTCTTTAACTCCTTGGTTGTCAGACTTCCATACAGTTAGATTTTCTGTCAGTTCTGGTTGTTTTTTGTTTTTAAATTTGTGGTGGTCCTCTTGGCTGTGCAAGGAAGCACCGTGTGTCTACCTATGCCTCCATCTTGGCTGGAAATCCCTTTGCTCTTTTTTCTTTCACTCAACGTATGTATATGTAGCTGTAGTTTGTTCATTTTCATTTCTATACACTAACACATTATATGATTATATAACAGTTATTTACTCTTTACATTGTTGAGCATTTCAGTTGTCGGAATAAATAAAGACGAGTCAAAAAGGAGAACAAACATGCTGTTTACTCACAGCTTTCTCTTTTAAAAAATTGAATTTATTGGGGTGACGTTGGTTAATAAAATGATACAGGTTTCAGGTGTAAGTTCTACAACACATTATCTGTATGTTGTATAGTGTGTTCACCACCCCACATCAGGTCTCCTTCCATCACCATTATCTCCCCTATACCCTCTCCTACCTCCCCCATCCCCCTTTTCCTCTAGTAATCACCACACTGTTGTCTATATCTATGAGTGTTTTTATTTTGTTTTTTGGTTTATTTTATTAGATTCCACTTATGAGTGAGATCATATGGTACTTGTCTTTCTCTTACTGGCTCATTTCACTTAGCATAATGCTCTCCAGGTCCATTCATGCTATCATAAAAGGTAAGATTTCCTTCTTTTTACAGTCAGGTAGTATTCTATTGTGTAAATGTACCACAGCTCTGCTGTGGTACTCAGAGCTTGCTATAGCAAGGGAGTCAGCCACCATCCCTTGGGTTTGACACAGACTCCAGTGGGCAGGGATTTGTAGTGGAGGGGCTTGCAAAGCAAAGAGAAGGCAGGCTGGCTCTGACTAGAGTTCATGAGCATGAAGAAGCTGGAGGCTGGCCACCTAGTAGCAGGCATCTGGTATGATTGTTTGGGGGAGAATGTTTGGCTTTCTCTGATTGATTCTGAATTGGAAATGGAAACAAAGAATAGGGATGTTGGCAGTTATTGACCAAGTCCTGACTATCTGGGTGAATTGCTTTAGAGGTTTGCTTTGCATATTCAACTGGTTGCTACAGAGGTTGTGGGTCAGTTGTCATACAAGGTCTATCCAGTGTCTGTTTATATTGTCTCTCAAAGTTGTTTTCAATTATTGCTGCAAGGCTGTTCCAATTTACATGAAGTGTGATGCTAAGAATAATATTAACCCTTGAATAAACTAAAAATTCAGCTATGATATTGAAACCATTTTTAAAAAATACAGATATATGCCCAATTGATAAATTAAAATGGAATATTAAAGATTATTCAAATAATCTAAAAGACCGAAAAGGGGGGGAGGAAAAACAAAACCACAATGGCAAACAGAAAAAAAAGTACATCTCAATCCAACCACATCAATAGTTACATTACATGTCAGTGCTCTAAGCCAGAGGGTGGACAAACTTTTTCTGTAAATGGCCAGATACCTTATTTTAGGCTTTGTGAGCTGTACCATTTCTGTTGACTCTACTTGAAATTAGCTATAGGCAAGAATGTGTACATGAGTGGGTGTGGCTTGTTCCAATAAAACTATATTTACGAAAATAGCCTGCAAGATTTAGCATATAGTTTGTTGACCCTTGCCTGTGAGTTTCAGACTTCAAATTCCACAAATTTGTCTCTCAGGGTTGGGATTTTTAAAAAATTCATCTTGCTTGTTGCTCAGTGGGACCTCTCCACCACAGGAAGAATGGCTGTCACCTCTGATTCCGCCTTCTTTTCTACATGTTCTGAAGTGTATGGGCTCCCATTCTGATTTATCTATCAGTAGGCTCCTATTTGCTTTCAATCTTCAAAAAAATTCTTCAAAGTCTCTGGGCTGATTTCCATGCTCCCCCACATCTATGTTATGAACCTGTTCTCTTTCATAAATCCTGTAATCTTAATGGGACTTGGGAGAGGAGAGAAGGTAAAGGTGTGTGTCCGGCTGTCATCTTGACCTAGAAGTTTCATTTCTGTTTCAATATCTTCTTCAAAAGCATCGATATCTGTTTCAAAAGTATCTTTACCTGATTGCTTATATGTCAGAATGCCCAAGTCTTTGCTTTCTAAATCAATTTGCAGTTATAGGTATGAACCTTCAGTAGAATAAACTTAGAGGTTAAAACCAGGTTTATTTTGCATCACTTTTGTGCATACGTGGAAAAGATGGCTGATAAGATTTTTATGCCAGACTAGAACTAAACAATTTATTACTATTGCTCTTTATGCTTACATGCAACATTGTTGAATAAAAACATCCTAAGACCCCTAAAAGAGAACAGTATGATTAAAATTCACCTTTTTCTAACTTATTTTTTAACTTTTTAAAATGATCACCATCCCTCATTCCTCTCCCCTTCTTTCCTGAGTGGGTGCATTTATTTTTCTACAAATTACTGTCCACCTCCACTTTTGAAAATCAGTCTATTACAGAATTCTAGGGGCTGTAAATCATTGTACAGTGCCTGTGGAAAGAACCCTAACGGTAAGGTATTCATTGAAAAAGGATGCCAAAGAGGTCTTAAGTACTTTGATCTTTAACTTTGGAAATAAAAAAATTTGCTTCTTCATTAATCACTTGGACTACATGTTTCAGTTCTGACCTATTTCCTTGGGCTTTGCTAGAATTAATAACAAGCTTTTCAAACCATTATTAATAGTTAACTCTTGCCTATGAACTTCTCAAGAATAGGGATTATAAAAATATACTATTGTAGCCCTGCCTGGTGTGATTCAGTGGATTGGGCACTGGACTGTGAACTGAAAGGTCACTGGTTCGATTTCTGGTCAGGACACATGCCTGGGTTGCAGGCCAGGTCCCTGGTTGGGGGCATGTGAAATGCAACCAACCCAGATGTTTCTCTTGCACATAGACGTTTCTCTTCCTCTCTTTCTCCTTCCCTTTCCCTCTCTCTAAAAATGAACAAATAAAATCTTTAAAAAATATATAGTATTGTACAATATGAAGGTAATTAATAATTATGCATTAAAAACTAAAGGTATAAGGTAAAAATTGACTTTATAAAATTCAAAAATGTTAAATGTTATATTGAATCTTAAATACCTCATAGCTTTATTGCTGTGAGTCATCATACTTATACCTGCCAATTCTGAGGAGGTGTTTTTGTTTGTTTGTTTTGGTGAAATTTTTTTCAGTCACTGTCCTGCCCAGAAAATTTGGGTATTTTCTCATCAAACAAGTAAAGAGCTTTTTAAAATGTGAACAAAAAGTTTATTTACTGGTACAAAAATTTTAAGCATCATTGAAAATTACCCAGGTATATTTTCAAAAACCTTGCTTTACAAATGTTAGAAATGGTCTTAAAATGTTAATACTGAACTGATGGTTGAAATCTTAACCTTGAGGAGATACAAAATTTTTATTATTAATATCTGAAGAATTTAGTTTACCACAAAAAACAACTTTGACAGTTAAATGAATATTTAGTCAGAAATATTGCTACTCTCAGCATTACATATTGGGCACTTTTCCATCTCTATTAAGTTTGCTATTGTCATCCTATCATCACATAATAAGTACCAAGAAATACATATTTTAGTAAATAATTTGTTAATTAATAATATTTTAAACAAATGAAACTGAAGGAATTTCATATAGTTTAAATCTTGAATTTCAATTCTCCAAAGAAAATATCCTGAATTTAAGATTTGTTCCGAAAATGAAAAGGGCTTAGCCTTTACAGCCCAGTCTTTGACACAATTTGGCTTTTCATCAAAGCTGGGTTTGGCAGGAGAAACAGAGATTTGGCTCTGTGGCTGACTTGCAGAATGACCTGTCATCCCAGGTGCTTAAACAAGCCATTTGGTCTCTGGTTCATAGATTTCCCAACCATTAAATAAGACTAATATTATGTGTGTTTGCATGTGAGATCAGAGTATTTGTAATAAAATCCAGCCTTCGATAATCTATTCCTCTGCCATCTACTCAAAACATAAAATGAATACTCACAAAATAGAAAACAAGTATTGTAATAAGTTTACTTCAACTTAACTTGACACTGGACTTTGAAAGACTGTTTGAGTCAGCTTCAGGCTTTAGCCATGGAAATAATCTTAGATACTAATGATGGTAGAATTTTCATAATTAAAACAATTGTTTCATTCACTGGTGCCAAAATTTCTCATTATGAAAAGTATAACATTTAAAGGAACTCATACTGATCTAGAATGAACAGTTGATCTTTTCAATTAACTGAAGAATATTTCTTCAAAAAAAAGTATTTTTAGCATAGCTATTTTTTATTACAGAATGCTTGCTAAATCTTAAATAATTTGTCCTGTGGAAAATTATTTGTGAAAATTTGCTTGAAATGAATCATTTCAGAATTTGTGGAATAATATATGAGAAATGTTTATGTAAGAATGTACATATATAGTATACATTTTTAAAGCAAGAAGCTTTGAAGATTACAGAAAAGGAGAGAAACGCAAGATCCAAAGCATAGATAACCTTAAATGACAACGTATTCACCAATAAGTGGACCATGTTCTAGTAATTTTAGTGCAAACAGACATGTATTTTGTGTCACATGGGCTGCCTGTAGAATGAGGGTCCCCTATGTAGAAGATCAAGGACAGAAAATCACAGGAGACTTTAGAGTGGGTCCTCAGCTCACTATAAATAAAAAAAAGGTATTGTGTTTACTGAGAACTGGTCCCTCAATTTTCTTTTTCCAGTGTGGCAATGATGTTCACAAATTTGGCCACACAGTTTTTAAAGGTTTATGAAGCGTTGAACATACTTGATAATATTTATCATGTTTACACACAGATTTTATGATATTTACCTTGCAATCTATATAAATATAAAACTGTGCACAGCTGGACATGAACACTGGTCTACTCGCCGAACTTTTTTCCAAGTTCCTTGACATCGAGGATTGTCAACTGCTTGCCAGTGGAGAGTCTGATTTCTGAAACAATATTTTGAAAATGTTACTACACTAAAAGCAAACCAAAGGAAATTCTAATTTACAAAATTATATATTGAAGGTTTTTAAAACTAAAAACTCCAGGTATTTTTTTTTTTTTGAGATTTGAAGTACATTGTAAATCAAATTTTTAAAAAATGATCACAAACCAAGTTCCCCTTCTTCAGGTTCTAGCAAAACAAGTTACCACATAACCCTATTTGAGGACACCCTGTGCTAAGAGTGTAGTAATCTAAGGTATTAATTTCTGTCACTTGATTCAGTCACTTCATGAAGTGCTACATAAAGGAAAATGGCTTCCTGTTTCATATATATTTAAATTAGATGGGTCTAAACCAAATAATTTCTTGTAATCCTTTTCACCTCTTTGATTCCATGATGAAAAAAAAATGGGAGAAGTGGAAAGAGCAAAGCCAGATTATTGAAATTATTTTTAAAGTCACTGGAACCTCAGCCAGAGTTTAAGGTACTTTATGGATACAAATTAAATTATAAATTAATTTCAAGTCAAGATATGGATGAGGTATTCAGAAAAATACTAAGTGTAAATATTAAGTTTCTATTTCATATGGATTCCTTACCCACTTAACTATTCATATGGTATACTCAATACAGAGACTGTTAGGCACAAGTGACTGATAAATAAAAATTCAAGTTATTAAGCATTAAAACACAACATGGGAATAATGAGTAACTGGAAAGGTCCATATTTTACTTTCTAATCTGTATTTTTATCAGTTCCATCTGACATACTTAAAATCATAATCCATTCCCAGAAGTCTACCCTTCTCTTAGTTACAAACAGTGTTATCAGATTTAACTGATAAATGAGTATAGGACTCGTATAGTTTCCAAGATGTTAAAGTGTTTTCAAGGGTCAATTCTTTTGGACAATCTATAGATTTCTGTAGTTTATGACCTCGCAAAGCTGAGCCCACCACGATCTCAATCATTATGTTAGGACTCCACTGAGCAGTGGTTCTGAACCTTCTGTGGAATGAGACATCTCGGCAGGGGTCAGCAATCTACCATCCATGAGTCAAATCCAGCCCACCCCCTGCTTTTCTGTAGACATTAAAGAGTTGATGAAAAATTGAACAGTTCAATGAAAATTGAACATTTTGTGATATATGAAAATCATATGAAATTCAAATTTTAGTGTCCACTAAAATACAGTGTTATTAGAACAAAACCCAGCTCATCAGCTAACATAGTGGGTCTGGCTGCTTTTGATGCAAAGTTGAGTACCTGTGACAGAGCCTGTGTGGCCCATAAAAACAAAAACATCTATCATCTGGCCTCGTACAGAAAATATCTGCTGACACCTGACCTGGGAGATTGTTAAAAATCTCCCAGGCAAAAAATTCTACGCGCAAAAAATTCAGATGTAGGAGGGGCTCAGAAATCTGTTTATCTTGTCTTATTTTATATTTTAATTTAATTTAATTTCAATACTGACCTAAGGATATGTTCGCTGATTTCAGAGTGAGTGGAAGGGAAATAGAAAGAGAAACAAATATCGCTAGGTTGCCTCCCATATACTCCCCTACCAGGGCAGAAATCTGCATGTTTTAAATCACCATCCTTAAGAGATTCTAAATCAAATGAGCTTTGGAGCAATCAAGTCTTTAGTGGTCATTTAGGAACTGAGCCTGAACCCCAATATCCAGATTTGCCCCCTTACCCCTCATTTCTGATAAAGAGCCTCTAAGTTCCACAGTGTGAACTGGGTCTTGGGCTCCAGAGTGGCAAGGAGGAAAGATCTCCTCACTCAGTGTTTGACTCTCACTCATTTGACTCTAAACAGCCATACCAGTCAGCTGTTTAGGACATGCAGAGCACAAATCTCTCCAAATGAGTAACAAGAAAAGTCCTGGCCATGGCTGGTGTGGCTCAGTGGACTGAGTGTTGCCTGGCAAATCGAAAGGTTCCTGGTTCGATTCCCAGTCAGGGCACATGCCTAGGTTGAGGGCCAGGTCCCTGGTTGGGGGCATGTGAGAAGCAACCAGTTGATGTGTCTCTCACACATACATGTTTCCCTTCCTCTCTTTTTCCCTCTCTCCCCTTCTCTCTAAATAAATAAATAAAGTCTTTAAAAAATAAAAAGAAAGAAAGAAAAGCCTTTCAACCCACTTCCCTCACTTACCCATCAGAATCCAGGCCATCTCCAGAACAACGGAGACTCACAGAGTTCATGGCTGGAGGTTGACAATCGACACACACTGTATACCCCTCTCGTAGGTACTGCATCCATCTTGTTAGGGGACGGTTTTCCAGAGCGCAGTGATGAGTCAATGACTCGGTCTTGAACTCCATACAGTATCTACAGCAAAAAAAGGACAAATTTTATTCACCGTATTTATATATATATATTTTATTGATTATGCTATTACAGTTGTCCTATTTCCCCCCCTTCACTCCCCTCCACCCTGCACACCGTCTCCCACCCACATTCCCCTCTTTTAGTTCATGTCCATGTGTCATTCACTGTATTTAGAGGTGGCCTGCTGCTACAGGAATTCTTAGGAAGCTTGTCATCCCCAAGGACATCTGCACAGGTCACACTTTGGTTATAGGACACCTTATAACAGTTCTCATTCACTGATCTATGATGGTATCCAGGAGACAACTATAGTGAAATTTGAAGCTCTTTTTCAGTCCATGACTGAATTATCTGGTCAACAAGAATATGCAGAAATTCAGATATCCTGTACCCTATCTAGCCTGATCATTTAAATTGTATATATAAAAACACATTTCAGTAGGAAAATAGTCCTTGATCACTTTGCTGACATTTTTAAAATATATTTTATTGATTATGCTATCACAGTTGTCCCATTTCCCCTCCTTCATTCCCCTCCACTCTGCACAACCCCTCCCATGTGGATTCCTCCCTTTTAGTTCATGTCCATGGGTAACACATATAAGTTCTTTGGCTTCTACATTTCCCATACTAGTCTTAACCTTCCCATGTGTATTTTCTAACTACCATTTATACTGCTTATTCCCTATACCTTTTCCCCCTCTCTCCCCCTCCCACTGCCCCACTAATTAACCCTCCATGTGATTTCCATTTCTGTGATTCTGTTCCTGTTCTAGCTGTTTGTTCAGTTTGTTTTTGTTTTGCTTTTTTTAGGTTCAGCTGTTGAAAGTTGTGAGTTTGTTGTCATTTTACTGTTCATAGTTCTTATCTTCTTTTTCTGAGATAAGTCCCTGTAACATTTCAGGTAATAAGGGCTTGTTGATGATGAAGTTCTTTAACTTGACCTTCTCTGGAAGCACTTAATTTGCCCTCCCATTCTAAATGATAGTTTTGCTGGATAGAGTAACCTTGGATGTATGTCCTTGCCCCTCATGACTTTGAATTCTTTCCAGCCCCTTCTTGCCTACAAGATTTCTTTGGAGAAATCAGCTGACATTCTTATGGGAATTCCTTTGGAGGTAACTCTCCTTTTCTCTTGCTGCTTTTAAGATTCTCTCCTTATCTTTAATCTTGGGTAATGTAATTATGATGTGCCTTGGTGTGTGCTTCTTTGGGTCTAACTTCTTTGGGACTCATGGAGCTTTCTGGACTTCCTGGAGGTCTATTTCCTTTGCCAGATTGGGGAAGTTCTCCTTCATTATTTGTTTAAGTTTTCAATTTCTTGCTCTTCTTCTTCTCCTTCTGGCACCATGATTTGGATGTTAAAACATTTAAAGTTATCCTGGAGGTTCTTAAGCCTCTCCTCATTTTTTTTTGAATTATTGTTTCTTCATTCTGTTTTGGATGAATGTTTCTTGCTTCCTTCTGCTCCAAACCATTGATTTGAGTACTGGTTTCCTTCCCTTCAGTGTTGGTTCCCTGTGCATTTTCGTTTATTTCACTTTTCATAGTCTTTACTTTTTCCTCTATTTTGTAACCATACCCAACTATTTCTGTGAGCATCCTGATTACTAGTGTTTTGAACTGTACATCTGATAAGTTTGCTATCTTTTGTTGCTTAGTTGTATTTTTTCAGTAGCTTTGATCTGTTCTTTCATTTGGGCCATTTTGTTTTTGTCTTGGCGCACCTGTGTCATAGTAAGGGGTGGAGCCTTAGGTGTTCATCAGAACAGGGCAACCCAAGTGGCTTTGCTGTGATGCTATTAGTGGAGGAGAAGTCCAAGAGGGAACAATGCTGCTTGCTTGCCTCTCAGCCAGCTTTCAGTCACTTCCTCTGCTACCCACAAGTAAATTGGGCTCTTCTGGTGCTGATTCCCAGGTGGGTGGGTTTGTGTATGTTCTAGGACTCTGTGGGTCTCTCCAACAGACTCTCCTGCGAGGCTGGGAGTTTCTCCCACCACCACAACCCTCACCAGTTTTTCCAGTCAGAAGTTTTGAAGCTTTATTTTCCCACTCTGGAACCCTAGGTTGCACAGTCTATCTTGCTCCCCAGTTTTCCTCCCAGTTTATTTGTGTGCAAATGTGGGACCTCCTGCTCCACCAGCTGCCACCTCACCCTGTTTGCCAGCTGCTGCCTTGCCACAAGTCCTCTCTGCCCAGCTGCCCATCTCCACCCTCCCTACCAGTTTGGATGTTTCTTCTTTAACTCCTTGGAGGTCAGACTTCAATACAGTTTGATTTTCTGTCAGTTCTGGTTGTTTTTTATTTTTAAATTTGTTGTTGTCCTTCTTTTGGTTGTTCAAGGAGGCATAGTGTGTCTACCTATGCCTCTATCTTGGCTGGAAGTCAACTTTGCTACATTTTAATGAAGTATATAAATTGAACAAGACCTTGCTTGAGCCTGAGAACATGTGAGTCCCAGGAGGACTCGTCCTTGATGCCCAGACCAGCACCAGCCCCACAGATGCTCTCAGGGCCTTCCCTACACTCCCCACCCAGCACACCTACATGGTCTGGGGTAGGACATGAGTTTTGACTTGAAGTCAAACATCACAGTTATACTGGGTGTCACAGGTGAAAGGAAATGGGAAGCAAAACATGTTTTTCTGTGACAGAGGCTATTGTCACCTCTTACTGAGCTGTGGAAACTCTAACACTATATGTGACTAGATTGAGGGCCCCACACATGGGTGAATATTTCAGTCTTGTTCTTAAAAGCAACACAATTTTATAATTCTTTGGGGGGAAATAATACATCATAAAAAAAACCTGAATGTTGCATTTTAGGTTCTAACTATGCTAAAATTGGCTAGTTTTCCACGTATAGAATTATGAGCAATAACAGGACAGTGTTTGGAGCATCTGCTTCAGTGAAGATCTTTAACATGGTAAGTATCATTTATTAGGTAACTTAAACTACTGAGGTAGAAAACCCTGTGATGCAGCTTCAATCAACCTTAGACAGCTTAACCCAGATATCTCTCTCTTCAATTTTTCCCTAGAATTAAATTGTCATAAGAACCCATGTGGTAGGTATTGGTATTCTCATTTTTTAAGACAGAAAAGCTGAGGTGGCTGCTGAGCAGCAGTGTAGGGATTTGAACATGCAGCTGTCTGGTGACCCTACTCTGACAGAAGAGTAGACTTATAGTGAGCACAGAGGTTCCTCCCAGCCTGTGCCATGAGTCTATTACCTGCAGATAATAGAAATCCTCAGAGCTCAGGTTGGAGCCACTTTCGAAATCACCAAACAGAAGTGGTGCTGGAGTCCATGGTTCCATGAAGACTGTAAGAGGAGCTTCCTTAGTGTGAGTGACAATAATATCAACTCATTTTTATATAGCATGTTTCTTTTTGGAGATTAGACCTCAGAGACAGATAAATCTTTAAAGGCCAGCAAAAACAGGGAGGGAACAAATACTTTCCCAACTCCGTGGCAGAGTCATTTTTACCCAAAGGCAATGAACAAGTAACAGAGGAAAACCCATCACACCATGTTGACCTCTGTGGTCAAGTGAAAAAAACATAAATTAAAAAAAAATCGAATTACCCAGTGTCCTCTGTGTCTGTAGACCACTGTGGGGAGACAGCTTGTCTTGTTCTCTCCTTGTTGAATGCAGAGGTAGTTATGAAGGCAGGGACTAGAAAACAAATTAACATTGAACACATGCAACCTAAAGTACTTAGAGCGATATTTGCCAAACTTGGTTTCAAACCTGTCAAAAGTGCTCTGTATTCAAGCCAAAGGTCTGTGGCACACCATCATGGAGTGAAGAGGGGCTACGTTCCAGTGTCCCCAGGACCCAGTTGTAGAGATTTGTGTACACACAGATGAGTGGGGGAGGGACTGCAGGCCTGGAGAAGTGGGCTTGTCTGCAGGAATAAAAGCACTGAGAAGGGAGGGCCAGGAGGAACAGCCCAGAGGAGATAAGAAATGATGGGGGTTGGAAAAACAAGGAAAAACATGATGTAATATACAAAGGGAGAGAATAGTTTCAAAAATGAAACATAGAGGAATACAGTAGAAAAGGGGAAGATAGGAAGAATAGAGTAAAAGAATCAAAGGGAGAGAGTGAAGGAAGAAAGGAAAGAGGAAGAAGACCAAAGAGAGTAAAAGGGGGATGGAAGTAGGAAAAATGATGACCAGAGATAGAGAAAATAAGAAAGGGTGGGGGGACAGAAAAAGCAAAGGAAGCAAGTGTGAGTGCTTCTCACATCTTCTGGTAAATGCAGTCTGGAAGCTTCACTGCCAAATGCATAGTGGCTGCTAGGTGCCAGCCAGCACAGCACTCTCCCTCTGCCCACCTGAGGAAGGAAAGGTCTAAGTCATCCTCTCCTCTTCCCTCTCCTCCCCCAACCCTACCCCAACTCTGACACTCTGGGTAGGAGAAGAGAAAAGGAGCCAGGTATTCTTTCTTCCCACCTCTGTTCCTTCTGTAATTTTATTTTGTTTGTGTATCTCCTTCCAATTTCACCTCTAAGTCCATGGAAGCACCTGTCACTCTGTTTAGCACCTGCAGATAACCTTTCAATTACACTCTGCTGTCAACTCAAGGAAGACAAGGTTTTGCCTCGTACATCACTGTGGCCCTTACACATTTATACACTTAATAAGTGTGTGTGCAATGCGCCAATGAGCAAATGAATGAAGTCCCAAAACTGCCACCAGGGCACATGGGTCCTACTTCCCCATAGTCTTCTGTTCTTGTACTGAGCCTTGTAGCAAAAATGGCTCAACAAAATCCTTTCTCCCTTTCATTTCAGAAATGGGACCAACCCAGGAAGCGTACATACCAGCTGATGTTGGCTTTTGAATGTGAAAGTCATCATCAACATGAACACAATAGCGGGAGGGTACCAGGTGCAAAACTGATGCTTCAAGCTTACATATTCATTTTACCTGGCTCCTTACTGCCACAGGATGGCAGCCTTAATTCTGTTCTAGATTTTCTTAATGAGGAGGCACTTTTATATTACTAGGGAATGTAAGACAAGAGTGGCCTAATACCTGGCAGCCACTTGCCCCTAAGAGTTGCAGGTATTATCCTTGTCTCCTATGGTTTGATGCCTAATCTCTCCAGTAAAAAACTTCCTACATCTTGCATTAGCCCTAGCACCCCAGCTGTGTGGCTCTTTCTTGCTGCACTGAGATGTTTGTTTGCCAAAGAGAACATGTCACACTTTCTAAATATGACCGTAGCTTTTGAACTTCAAAATCCACAGACAATCCAAAGGACAAGTGAATGCATGTATGTCAGGATCCCTCTCTGTTTCTCTTAGATCTAATGATCAGAAACATAGACACCTAAAGGATTTTAGTTTTCCCAAGTTATTATTCCCAAATTATTATTTCCATTTCTGTTCTTCTGATGAATTTATGTGTTTATTCGCTAAGTGAAGAATGGGTAGCATTATACCAGGTAAACTATAACATTTTGGGGATGTGTTTCTTTACTCAAAACATTTACTTGATCTCTTAATTTGTATTGCATATATTATCACAAAAGTTCATAAGCATACACACTAATGCATAGCTCAGGAAAAAATGAGGTTAGAAAGGAGAGGGCAAGTATATGCCTAGAGGTGCTGATATAAAATCCTCAGAAATGTTTTAGAATAATAAAAATAAAAGCTAACAAACATGCATTTCTAAGTTTCCGGGCACAATGCAAAGCACTTTACGTGTGTTAATTCAGTTAATTCTCACCACACTACCCTCTGAAGTAGATCCTATTATTTCCCCATTTCACAGATGAGGGAATTGTGGCACAAAGAGGGGAAGAAATGTGTTCAAGGCTCATGTTTAACTAGGGGAGTACCAGGCCTCATCTCTAAACCACGCTCCTCATTGCTGAGCTCCACAGTCTCTATTATAATGCTGACCACAAAGTTTCACTATTTTATAAGGCATATTTCCCATGAATTACTTACATTCTGCTTTATTTTCCCTTTCTGTCTCTCATCACAAAGTCTAAAAGTAGGAAGTGGGCATGGGTGGTATGGGGGCTTATGGCCAAAGCATACCGTGGGCACTGGGCACAGATTAAAGCCTATCATAGGATGGCACCTTTGTAGCCTGCTTATTTAGGAAGAACTTCCACATTTTGTGTTACCGAGCTTCACCAAAGTTTTGTAAAGAGGTGTTCTGATGAGGTTTCCTCATCAAAAACCAGGGGCTTCCAGAAGTTAAAGGGAAAATAAACAGTAAATCACTGAGTAAGGGCCCAGCAGAGAAGGTAGCTTGTTTTTGTGAGACCCAGTACCCATGGTCAGTGTTGAGCCTCTGCAGTTATGACCCTTGATAAAAACAGCCCGGTAGCCCTAGACCCTGTGTCCTGTGTGTCCTGACCCCTCACCCTACTGATAAGGCACCTCCTCCTCCCATGAGTCCTCAGGAAAGTAGAACAGGAGCCAGATTGCCTGCATAGCTCCGATCCAGTGCCGTAATCTCCCGCACAAGTGTAATTGTCATTACAGGAAGAGTGGTAAGTAATTTAGAAACTATTTTTGCCTCCAGTGCTACAACAAAGACTCAATAAATGCTAGTACCCCTCCTTTCCCCTCCTGGCAACAATGTTCAAATGTAATAGATTCTTTGTTAACAGGCTCTTTGCCAACTTCCCTGGCAACCCATCAACCTACCATCGTTGGGTTTTACAACAACTTCCACTTCTAAAAGGTGGTACCGCACATACTTTGAAAATGAAAGTAAATTAAATTTGCTTTGTGAATTTCATAAAGCCCTCTGACACAGTGGGGTGTCACAACAGCAGGCTTAGAGCTCCTGCTCTGAAGACTTCATGGAAAACAGAACAGAAAGAAAATCTGACCAATGACACCAGCCTGCAAGCATACAGTTGATAATGCACCTTCATCTCCTTGCAGGAGGAAAACACATACAAAAATTGTCAGTATGTGCAACAGATACAGTCACATGGCTTTTGGGGTTTGTTTTTTATGAAAAAAGATAGTCAAAAAAGGCTTTAAATGAAACAGGAAAAGTGCAATAGCTACTTGATCATTAATAAGAGCACTTCTGTGATCCCATTTCATTCACTGGCCTAGCAGGGATTTTGTGTTTCTATGTAGCATTACCAAAATCTACAACTGCAATTTTAGGTCTAACAATAGATAACAGTTAACAGCAAAACAATACGAAGTGTGGGGCAGAGATGGGGGGAATCCACAGAATTTAGAGCCATGAGATCCAGGTTTGAATTCTGCTGGTCCTTTATCAATGCTTTCACCTCTCTGAGCTCCAGTGTCCTCCTGTGCAAACCAAGGATAATGATGCTGTGCTACCTGCATGAGGGCAACATAATGGCCCCCCAAGGATGTTCACATCCTAATGACCCACACCTGCAAATATGTTATGTTATGTGGCAAAGAAGAACTGAGGTGCTACTTGGTTGATCTTAAAATAAGATTATCGTGGATTGTCCAGGTGGGTCCCATTAAAATTAACAGTCAGAAGAGAGTCCTAGAGAGATGTGACAGTGGAGGAAAGACAGAGAGATGCAGTGTTGCTGTGGAGCTGGAAGAAGAGCTATGAGAGAAAGAATGTGGCTGGCCCCTGGACAATGGAAAGGCAGAGAATGCAGAGACTATGTCTGGCTTTTGGCTTCAGAAATATAAGATTTCTGAAGTTAAGCATTTCTGTTGCTTAACTCACTAAGTTTGTGGTAATTTTTATCCATAACTTTCTGAGGTATTGACAAAAAGTGATACAATCACACCCTGGTGTTTTTCTCTAGAACATGCTTTCTGAGCTTGAATCTCTTCATTCAGTGTTCTTTGCCATTTTGCAAGGCTGAGAATTTCCCATTTCATTAAGACCTGTTCCACTGGGATAAAGAGTTCCCTCCATCTATCACTTAGCAAGAAGAAACCAGACTGCACCTTCAACATTCTGCTCGGAAATCTCCTCAGCTAAATATGCAAGTCCATCACCTACAAGTTTTACTTTCTGCATAACTGCAATTCCACTAAGCTTTCTACCCCTAATGACAGGGACCGTGAAAAGGCGAGGAAAGGGATTCCCCCAAGAGCCTTCAGGAAGAAGCACAGCTGACTCACTTGGGCTTAGCCCAGTGAGACCTGTGTTGGACGACTACCCCACAGAACTGTACGATAATCAATTCATGTTCTCATAAGCCTCTAAGTTTGTGGTCATTTGTTTCTGCAGCCATGGAAAACTCAAATACTCTCTTACAGGATTGCCCTGAAGATTGAATCAATGTCTATAAAGGCTCTTTGCCACACAAATGTGAGGGCCAGTGAGCCATGTAACAAAAGCTCCTGCTCTGTGAACAGGAGGCCTGGAGGGGCAGGTAAGAACAGATACACAGGTAGCCAGGGAGCAGGACCTAGAGCCCTAGGTAGAGGTGAGTGCCCCTCCCAACGCTCCCTCACCCACCTTCTTGTCCATCATGGCACTGACTCAGCACCTCAAGTTCTAAGTGACAGTGATGATTGTCATTCAAGTTTGCACCTCCCTAAATCCAGCACAGTGCCAGAATGCCATAGGTGCTCAGGGAATCTTAAGGAAACACATAAATGAAGGCACAGGAGCTGGGGTAAAACTGGACCTAGGGGGCCTGGAGAATCCGCCCCCTTGTATTTTCACATTACCATCTCTCATTTCCCTCCTCCCCAGCCCCCAGCAGTCCATCATTTACCAACGTGTATTCCACAGGACACTCTGATGACCAGCACAATCGCCTGGAGGCCTTGCTACAATGCAAACAGCTGGGCCCAGCTCCAGTGACTGTGGGTCTGGGGGGCCAAGAAACCTGCATTTCCAGTGAGTTCCCAGGTGGGGCTGAGGCTGCTGGTCTGGGACCACACTTAGGAACCAGCTGAATGGGAATATTCAAGGTATTCTGTTCTCCCTGATCAGCTTGTGACAGGAGCCATCACTGACCTCCCAGCTGGAAAGTGGATGTCAGAGAGCACAGCCAAGGCAGTGAATGGCCCTGCCCCAAGTAGAGATTCCTCTTTTCTTCCTAAGCTGAGAAATCTGACTTGACCTTATTAGGAAAGCAGGCCATTAAGTACAGCTATCTCCTGTTGGGGTTGTATCAGAGTTGCTAACACCTTCGGGGGAGTCACCTAAGAAGACTCCTGCTTCTTAAAATCCTATTCTAGGGTTTGGTGGAAGATGTGGGCAATAAGGGTAATTTGGAAATCCAGGGACATTGGAGGTAGGAAGGGCTATGGATTTTGCCCCATCAGAGGACAGAGGAGTGGACAGCTCCAGACAGAGAACACCAGAAAGCAAGGTGTGGACCCAATGCTGCCTGGTGCCCTTGTCCCATGTTTTATAGCATTCTCTTATGTGACCTTCCTGTCCCCTTCCCTGTGACCTGCACAGCCCTGTTAGAAGGCCCTGCAGGGCTGGGAAGGGTCTGTGCCAGCCAGGGGCAACACTGGATGTGCTGAAGGACTACCTTCTAGCAGTCAAACTTGGCAGTAAATGAATGGAGCAAGCTGCTTTTCCTGACAGAATGACCATAGGTTTTAAGTTATCAAAAAAAAAAAAAAAAATCAGTCGCATCCAAGAATGACTCCCTCCTGAGCCTTTTCTGCAGTGTTTCTGCGAAGTAATGAGCGGAATGTGACTTTGTACTGTGGCCAATTCTGTGAGCACTAAAATATGTCCCCGTGAGTCTACTGTGATACCTCTGTCCATGGGAGGCTCCACCTGGCCCTTCCTTTCACCACCACCCAGGCAACCTTCTTAAATTAACATCTGATCACATCGGCCACTACAGAAAACATCCTAGTGGCCTTCCAGGCCTTTTCCTATAAAGACCAGAATCCTGAACAAGGAGCTCCAAGGCCCTGCCCTGGAAGGGGGGCAGGGGAGTCTTCTCTCACCTCTCACCTTGCTCTCTGTTCCCTGTGTCCTATAAATGAGGCAAAGGTGGCCAAAGGCTGTTTACTTCCTCACAGCAGGCTGAAACCTGATAGCTCCAAAGCCTGTTGGCATCAAACTGAATTTTTTCTATACCCAATTGTTTTAAAAATAGCCAAACAAGCAAGAAGACTTTTAGCCATTTAGGCCTGGCCTGCTTTGCATACCCTGTGTAACTGCACCCAGCATCTGCAGGCCATTTGTAAGCTATTACCTTGTGTTCTAAAACCTCAAGATGTTAAAGCCCTTGCCCTTCACAGTTCTGTGACCCAAGACTCCTGGTTATGCCGCTCAACTGACATCAACTAGACACACAAGCCTTGGCATGCTGACACCTCTCCTTCCATTCTGGATGGTGGTCCCCACACCACAGCCTCTGGACTTCTCTGTCATGAAACCCTTACTCTCGTGGTCAGATGTTTTTCTTAGATCGGCCTCAAACCTCTCAAACCCCCTCTCCCTGACTATCCGGTTCACCATGTTGGTCTCTCAGCGTTATTCCCAGTCCTCAGGGAGGTGTCTCCCCTCCCACCTCTGTGGCTTCCCTCCTTCCTGAGAAACAGAGGCAATCAGCTAACATACACTCCTAGGTCTACACCTTTCATGCGGTTGGGACTAGCTGGACCAAACTGCAGCTGTAATTTTCTGAGATTAATTTCCCAGGATGATCAGATGAGCATCTCTGCCTCCCCCTAGACAGTGATCTATCTAGATATAACAGTGGGATCCCTGTCAGCTTCCCTCACCATTGTAACCCTGGCACCCCAAGTGCCGGGCATGCAGCCTGTGGCATGCAAAAAGGAACACAATGGTTTAATGAGGGTCATGCTGTCATGAAACTTTCCAAGTTCCTATGAAAAACATATAATCTTTGCTCTCCTGAGAATCAGTGCTTTGCTCTATCAGGTTCCATCCAGATCAAAACATCGATACTGGCCTTTCTGCTTATTTCTTTGTGAGCTTCGTGGCTCCAGACTCACTAAGAAGCTGATTCCTGGCACCTCCACTGGCCACCCCACAACCAGAATGATGTTTTCAAGTCACAGATCTGATCACATCAGCCGTAGTCTATATGGCATGAGAGCAGAGGCAGGTGATTAAAGAGGATAATTCTATCATCATTAGAAATGTATAATGTTTCTCCTATTTTCATGAGCCTGTCAGTGTTGGTGATTAAACAGAAATTACAGTGAAAAGTGAACTAGAATTATCTTTACCAGACACTCACTTTGCTGTGTGAAATACCATTGCCTTACCTAAAGTCCTCTGTCATCAGCGTGACTGAGTTTGCTGAAAACCACTGAGTCTGTGCACGAGAAAGGGTCACCCCTGGCTTATAAACACAGGGAGGAAATAGCAGGGATGGGACTGGGGGACATGTATGCCGCTGACCGGTAATTCCTTTATCAAGCATTTCCTGAGCTTCATATCTACTCCCCGCAGACCGGCCCACCCCACTGGCTGCAGCATGGAACTTTCCCTGCTCAGCACCTGACCCTTTAGGGAACCAAGTGCAGCAAAGTCATCAAAGACCACAAAGGCAGCAGCATTGTGCAAACCTCTGTCTTTACCAAAAGCATGCCCGCAGTCCTGGCCCTGCGGTGTCGAGTACTCCAGGCAGCCGGCTTTCTCTTCTAGGGCAGGGCAGGGCGCCCCACCGTTCTGGGGCTCCTGCTGCACCAGGCGCCTCCGCACGCGGGCCATCGGCTTGCACTGGTCAGCACAGCCACTCCAGGGGCTCCACTCCCCCACGATGCACGGGCGAGCTGAAAAACAGCACCAGGAGACAATCAACCACCCAGGGAACCCAGCAAGCTGCCTGCCAGGCTGTTCCCTCCCACCTAACAGTGGCATCCAGCCCACATGAACTGCATCAGCAGGGACACCAGGTCTCAGAAGGGCCCCATTTGACATTGACTCCACTGCCCTGATGGTTAACTGATAACTGGGTACCTCAGAGACAGGTGGAGACTCGGAGATCATAGAGGTGGGTCTGAGCCAAGGACACACCTAAGTAAAGAGACCATTCCTTTAGGGTACTTCCTCATACTCCTGGGCTAAGTTTAGATCTTGGCTTTGGTTTTTCTTGGTTGTAACTTTATCCTCTCTTGGCCAGAACACTTTTTATTGTAACAGTAATAAATATTCATTGTAGCACCAATAATCCCATCACCTACCCAGGGAATTTCAGCCAATGTGTCTCTGGAAGACGCGGACTTAGGCCCACACCAAAGGACCTCTGCATTCTCAGCTGCTCCTGGATGCTCATTCCCACCCTCGTGGTTCACCAACTCATAAACTATGAGAACCGGAGTGTAGACATGAGCAACTAGGGCCCACTGAGGTGAAAAGCATCGTGGTCATCATGAAGGGGCCAAGTCAGGGCAAGAGTCTAGCTGGAGCATTAATTCCCTGGCCATGACTGTGAAGTCAATGTGGTTACACACTTAGCTTTCCCATTTAAAGTCCTAATGAGTCTATAAAAGGACTGTACCTGGCTGGCGTAGCTCGATGGATTGAGTACGGGCTTCAAACCAAAATATCACAGGTTCAATTCCCAGCCAAGGCACATGCCTGGGTTGCAGGCCAGGGCCCCCAGCAACTGCACATTGATGTTTCTCTCTCTTTCTCCCTCCCTTCCCTCTCTAAAAATAAATAAATAAATCTTTAAAAAAAAAAAAGGGCTGTAATGAGTGTTTCAATTGAATTATGTCCAGACTTGAAATTAAATGTAAGAAAGGACAAGAAAGAAGATGTATGTACCTCTAAACTAGATGCCAAAACTCTTTCCCACAAAATGTGACCAACTTTCCCTATCACCCTCATACATGCAAGTTTGCAGAGTCTTCACCAAGAAAGCACCCTACTTCTTTGAAATCTTGGTTTGGACTTCCAACAGTTCGTACTTGAAAACTGAAGAAGTAAAAGGGTCACACCCAATATAACCACCTTTCAGTAATTCAAAAACTTCAAAGTGTTTTAAAATATGTCTTTATTAATCAATCATCTAAAAACCCACAGGTGTCACATGACTGGGGTCAACTACCTAAAAAAGCAAGAATGGGTCACATTAGAGTTTGTTCTCAATATCCACCATGCACACATCCTTTGGAAATTCAGTAATGGGTCATTTCCTGCTCCTGTCATCTCTTGTTGATCCCTCCCTTTTTACATTCGGGATGCCATGATTAAATTAGCCCACAGAACCACAAGGCATTTAAAGAGACTGCCAAGCTAGGAGCTGGGTGAAAAGGACTTCTGTCCTTAATTCTTTCAATAACTCTCTTCCCACCCAAATCTCTTCATCTCTCAATCTAGCTATTCCTGCACTTATATTTGGACTTAAATAATACTTACTAATATACTTTTTAAAAAATACACTTGTTTCAAAGATTAACATTTTGACATAACAGAATTTTATAATATGGCCTAAGGTTACACTTTACCCGCGTGGAAAAACATGGCATCAGGGAGAGCTATATGGCTGAATTTTGTTTCCCAGTATTTCTTCATCATTTCTGGTCTCATGTCCAGTGTTTATTTATTTTATTCGGTTTGACCCACAGTGAAAACTCTCAAATCACAGAATAATTGAACCAGTTGTTGTTTCTATTTGGTTAAAGTTTTTCCTTGGCAAAATGCTATGTCCCATTTTTCTGATCAACGACTTTAACAGCCTCATAAAGAGAATCTGAACATTCTGGGGCTCTGAACAACATCTTGATGGCTGCATGGTAACACAAAAGGGAAAAAGTTTCTATGGAAATGTAGTGTTCACAAAAGCTGTTCCACAAAATATTTTGAGTTGGAAGGCTAATCTGAGGTATTTACTCCTATCTGCACACACACAAAAAATGTATTCTTGGTTAACTTGTGAACTTTCGAAGATTTGGACTGGAAGGCATCGAGATCACAAGCAAGCAATCTTTGGTCATGGAGGTCAAGGGAAGTATGGAAATTTTGGATAGACTTTTTATCATGAGTCATATATTACAATGAAGGATACGAATTCCCCTTTGAACTAGTCTATGTTCTTATCCCCATCCCACTAAGCATATCTAATTTGCATCTACATACAGCATATCAAAATATTATTTTCTTCAAAAAACTGATTTTCTTGATCTTCACATTTCATTCACCATTATTGGGGCCCGACAGGCTGTTACCTAGTGAGCAGTGTGATTACCTTTGACTCCAAGCTTGTCACAGCTTCCTGATATCTTAAAATGATGACATTATTTTAGGGGATGGAAGCCTAGATTTAATTGTGCCAGGAAGCTTGGCAAGCCCTTTTTTTCTTCTTCTTTATTTAAATTCAATGTAATATTCAGGTTGAGTTTCTCCAAAAGCAGATTCTGAGACGTGGATTTGAATGCAAGCCATTTATTTGGGAGGTGATCCCAAGAAGCATAACAAGGGAATACAGAGCAGAGACAGCGAAGTAGACACAGAAGAGAGACCAGAAATAGGAAGTAGACACCCAAGTTCCTGCTTTAGGCCCAGCAGGCACGTATGGCCCTCAGCTTGCTGGGAAGTGAGATAATGGAAAGATCCAGAGTATAAGGAATTATCGAGTCCTTCCTGATGCACCAGGAAGGTTCCCCCTCCTCAAGAACTTCTGGTTATCAGATATCTCTACCATGGCCACAGGGAGAAAGGCCAAGAACAGAAAAGTAAGTTATGTATTTCAGTAAAAGATCTGGGATCCAGAGCAGGGCACATTTTAACATGTCTTAACAGGGTATCCAGCCACAGCAATGTACCATGACCTTAAAAGATTTACCACTGATCTTTTTTTCAAAAAAAATTTTAAGTAGCTTTTTTTATGTGGTTTGCCATTGAGTTGAAATTCTCTGCCACTTTGTGACTGACCTGTGCCTGCCACTCCACTCCTACCTGGAGTCCTCTACCCCCACTGCCTCTGTGCCAAGCTCCAGCCACCAGGCCGCTTGACTCTGGGAGCCACCAAACTCTTTCACACTCTGAAACTTTTGTTGTGTGTTCACTCTGCCGGGAATGTTCCTCCCACACTGGGCATGGCTGGGGTCAGCTCATCCTTAGGTCCCAGATGAATTATTTCCCCTTCCGAGAGTCCATCTCTGGCCAGCCTGGCTAAATCATCTTCCAGCCCCCACTGCACACACCTCTCAAAATTATTTCCTCTCAGAGCTCAGTGCTGCTTGCTTTCAAGCAGCTTCATAATTCGTAATCACATATTTATTTTTTGTTGTTTATTGTTGAGTTTTTCACTTCATGTCTAGAGCTGGGCGCTTTGTAGATACTCAAAAAAATATTTGCTGAATGAATGAATGGCATGGCATTGGGCAAGTTCCTAAATGATGTTCTACATTGAAATAGACTCTGCTCTGCTCATATTAGTTAGAAGCCACAGCACTGACAGGGGCCCCATAGTGGGAAGGACAGGAGAAATTTCCAGAGCCCAAAACATGAGATTCTTAACCTGGCCCAGAGCTGGCTGCACTCTCCCAGCAATGGCAGCCTCAAAGGGGGTCATTGGAAGGAGCACTGTCTCCTGCACCTTCGGGTTAGAAAGACCCCAGCTTCTCCTGGCAGCCCCACATCTTCAGATCCTTTCCACTCCATTCGTGTCTCCTGCTAATACCACATCTGGAACATAACAAGCTTCTTTAATTTTATTATCTTTAGTGTGAAGTGGTTTTTCCTTTTATCTGAGCCAAATTTCCCTCACTCAAGAATTTCAAAATATGGAGCAAAAAATATCTATGCCTATCTTATCTGTGCCACTTAGGGACTTCTGCTGTTTCAGTGGCTCCCCTTCCCTGTGGCACAGATTTTCAGGTTGATGCCTCTGGCTCTTGGATCATCTTTCTATTGACACTTTCACTCTCAAAATTACCATTGGACTTTTGAGCTTCAGTGAGTTGTAGCAGCCAAAACTAGACACACTATTTTCAGTCTTTAAGCACCAAAGAGTAATTTAAAAAATACTTTTCTCCAATGCTTTTCTTGATGATGCCAAATACACACACACACAGCAACAAACTAAGCTGGCAGCCATAGTCCTTCATTACATAAGTATAGTTTGAATTACTTCTTCTTAGTGGAAGGCCTTGCTCTTACTCTCGTGCGGCTCTGTCTCCTTGGTTAATCACACAGACACTCAGGCACTCACCTCTGTAATCTGGCCCTGCCTGCTTGGCTCTGTGCTGCCTCAAAATTAAAGGCCACCCACGATCAAGTGCCTTCTCTCACACATTGTTGAGTTCATTCATTCCTAAGGAAATACTCTTTTTACACGTTGCCCACAGCAGTGCCATTTATATATGGCGTTTGCTTCCTGACATTTTATGGAAGAAAAAGGAAGCCCCTTTATCCACACACACATATACACATCCCATGGTGACACAATTTTAAATGTATGTTATCTGCCTTATTCTCTCTCCATATGCATATCCTTTTCTGTGAAACTTTGTCAAAACTTCTCTGAAGGTCAAGTGAGACTACATGGTCTAAGTTACTATCTATCCTCTCAAAAAAGCTCCAATAAAATGAGCAAGTACTGTTTTCCTCTTGCAGAAACCATGTTATCTGGCCCCCAGTAGGGTTTTTTTTCCCCCTTTCGAGACATTAACTGGATAAGTGCATGAAATGCTAGCAAGACGATGAAATGGGCTGCCTCACTTGAAAAAATGAAATTTTGGGAGAAAACTGTACTTGAACAATGATTAAAAAAAAAGAAAAAGAAAATTTTATGTAACATGTAAACCCAGAAAAAAAAAGAGATGCAAATTTAAAAGATAATGATGCTTTTCCTGGACAGTAAGTGTCTGGGTGAGTTCTTTTCTTTTGTGCACTTCTATATTTTCTGAATTTTCTACAACATACATTTTGTAGTCAAGGAAGAAAATGCTAGTTCTAAAAGGACATGTGGATACACCCCAACTGGCAATGCCCTCTGAAACTACAGGTAATGTCCTAGGTGGAAGGAGGGCTCATGTGTTTTGACAAATGTTATCAAGGCACCACGACACCACCAGGGATTGCACAAAGGAGCAGGCCACACTTTTTGCCCTGGAAGAATACATGGCTGACAGAGAGAGAAGGCTCACTCACTCCACCAGGATTTATCTGGGGCCTACCCCGAAAAGTATGTGCACAACTTCTCATAAGGCCTCATTTCTCTGAGGCCCAAAATCATAATGTGTTTTAATGTGTGGGTTGTGGATCCAGAGTTCCTGAGGTCAAATCCTCTTTATTAGTTGTGTGATTTTTGGACCAATTGCCTAACCTTTAACCTCCCAGTTCCCTGAATACCTTGGCCCTAAAATGAGAAATACAGGCATACCTCGTTGTGCTGCATTTCACTTTATTGTGCTTTGCAGATGTCGCATTTTTAAAAAAATTGAAGACAAGAGAAAAGAGAAAAATCTTTTTTCCCTCCACAATAAAAAAGGTTTGACTTGTTTCATTGTGATACTCGCTTTTATTGCAGGGGTCTGGAACCAAACCCACGATACCTCTGAGGGATGCCTGTAACCTCAGTGGGTATGAGACCTAAGTCAGTTTGGAGCTGTGAGGTGCCCACAAGAGAGCCTGGCACAGAATAAATGCTGGATAAGCCTTGACAACTTTATCGCCCTTGATTGCACACCCCAGGGCTGCAGCCAAATCCTACATGCTGAATATTGACTGGTGCTAGGCCCTGCTCGTGTTTTCTGTAGAGACAAGGGCAGAGGAAGTCACACACTGTCTCTTGGTCCCTCTGGTTCCAGTAAAGCCTCACCTTTCTAAATCGTCAAACACTGTGATATCCTTCCTTTGAGTGAGTTACAAAGCCCGTGTTTTCAAGTATAGTGCTCTATCTTCCTCCAGCCAGATATGACATCAGGTTTGGCCAGTTGGTTTTTTACATTCTCTATAAACCTAGAACAGATTAGCCTGTATAGGCTACTCAGTTTTTGTCCCTCTCCATGTGGGTTAATTATTCCTCTTTCCTTAAATTGTTCATCCAAGATCCAATGCAACCCACTGTTTCTATGATCAGGAATCAAGCTGATGAATTAGAAACTGAGGTGTTCTAAGCCCAACAAGACCGCTCTCCCAGAAGTTTGTCCAGGGCAGGTAACATGTATCTGTCTCCCTCCTCTACCTGACCCCTTTTCCCCATCCCTGATCAGGCCAAAGAAGAATTTCCTATCTTTTTGTGGGGGGAGGGGCAGGGAGATACATAGTTGGTATCAAAACCCATGCCATCATCATTATGAGAATTTTTTAGATAATTGGGTTCAGAACAGATTTTTTTGGCAGCTTAGTAATTCTATAGATCCAATAACTCATTTTTCTTTTTAATGAGAAAAAAATCTATTTAGAAAAAGAAATTCCAGTAGTTCATCTTTTAGCCACACCAAAAAAAAAAAAAATGTGTTTATCCGGATTAAAAAGTCAGAAGGAATAGAAGTAAGGCAAGCTAAGTTCTGTAACAGTTCCGCTTTCTGTTAACATTTAATGTCATTTCAGTCAAAAAGGCTTCTGAGAGCATCAATAGATAACACAGCATTAAGTAAGAGGAAGAATGGTTCTATGTCTGTAGAGGAGCTAGGTGCTCTGTACTGCTGAGCCTTTTTTTATGTAGGAATGAGTAATAGCCTCGAGTTCACATGCATGGAAGTGGCTGATGGCACCCTGAAATCAGGCAGCCTGGCTTCAGCTCTCACTCCCCTATCCCTTCATGGTAACTTAGTAATAAGGGCAGAGTCCCCAGCAGTCTTAGTTGCTGCAGTGGTGAAATGCTCATGCAGGGCAACTCCACCTCTTGAAACCCCAGAATCAGTTAGCTCAGTCGTGACACTTGTCCAGGGCTTTGTTGTGCCCTTACTCTCACCCGCAGCTCCAAGGGGTCAGCAGACTCAGTCTCGCCAAGTGGCCACCTTCCAATTGTTTCTATTTTCTTCTTCCCTTCCCCTAAAAAGCTCCAGGTGCAGAGAATTGACTAACAAGGAGCCTTTTCAGTCCCAAATCTTCTACTAGGCTGGATCCTGAGTCCTTCCAAAGATAGTAAGGTCACCTGCCAGTCTATACTCAATAAACCCCCACTCCAAAATGAAGTATTTTTTTTAAAAAAACATTTTTAATTCCTGAGCTGAAAACCAGGGATTTATTTTTGACCAAATGAAGATTTTGAGGATTCTGCAACTGCTTATAGTGGTGTTAGTCCTCAGTAGAAAGACAGTTCTTCTCAGGACACTGGTCTTCCCTTTCCCCATCCCTCTCTGGGCCCAAATCTCTGTACCTAAGTGCATTCACCAAATCTGTCCTATTTGCCAGGGTAGCCTCAGGGACTAGCTTAGTGCCTGGCACAAAAAGCTGACACCCACAGGTAACTGCTGGGATCCTCCTAGAATTCCCTCCCCTTTTATGGACCTCTGCATTTTGCAGAGGTAGGCTTGCTGGTTATTTCCTCTGGGAATTCTTTCTGAATTCCTCTGGTCTTCTCAGGTTTTCTTCTCTAGCCTCCAGGCCCCTTATTTTGTCACTAAGTGTGTTGCACTGTCTTGTATGTGTGTTTCCCTGCTCAACTATGACCTTCTAGGGGGCAGAGACTGTGCCTTCATTATCTTTGTGTCCCTGTGCTTCCCAAAGCATGTGATCTGAATTACAAGAATTCTGTATTTATCCTTGAAATGCAGGCAAACCCCTGATGAGAGAGGGCTGAGTGAGACAGGCTGCCACAGTGGACAGGTTTCACTTGGAGATCCAGGTAACTGAGGAAAACTGGCTCGGGTAGGATGGGGCTACTGAGAGGGGGACAGCTGTCCCCTTCTAAATAACTGACACATCACCTCATGTTGGTAATAAAATACCCTGGCTTTAGAACAGGAAAGGGAAAGAAGCTTATAAAAAAAAGAAAGAAAGAAAGAAAGAAAGAAAGAAAGAAAGAAAGAAAGAAAGAAAGAAAGAAAAGAAAAGAAAAGAAAAGAAAAGAAAAGAAAAGAAAAGAAAAGAAAAGAAAAGAAAAGAAAAGAAAAGAAAAGAAAAGATCAGTATGGTCAGTAAGCCATTAGTTTTTGATCAGGATAAAAAGAGAATCTAATGTTTTTCAACTGTGTTCTTTCCTCAGCAGTAGGCCCAGGTAATCATCAGGCATGAGCTTGTGACCTCTTCCTGCAGAAAGGGGCAGAAGGGGTGAGACTCTCTACCAGGCACCAATTTTCCAGGGAATGACACAGCCCTGCAGGATACTCTTCCAGGAAGATGCCGAGGACCCCACAAACCCAGGAACCTTGAGGTCAAACCATAACATCTGTGTGGCTTTTAGGGGGGACATGATTAACAGAGAGCGGGGCTACTCTTATCACCAGAGCTGGCTTCTGTCAGGCACACCTTGTTCTTTAGGACTAGACTCAGCATTTCTTCCTTTACCTTTTAACTTAATTAAGTCAACAATTATTGAGCCCATATCAGATACTGTGGGAAGTGTAAAAATGAAAAAGTTTGATCCTAAAGGAAAATCAGAAAGTATAAAACATAATAGGAACCCTGAGATAAAAATCTTTATCAAGCCCTCTAGATACAACTGAATTCGGGGGGCAGATGGACCCCTTCCTATGAGAAGGGCTATGTTCGCTGCATGTTCGAAGTCCGGAGATGAGGCCAGCTGTTCTCCAAGAACTTCAGCAGAAAAAGTTCCTTCTCAGAGCAAGCCCTGGGCACTGAGTGGGATCATTACATGTTCCTCTCTCCATCACCCCTCACCTACCCCTAAAATGCCTGAGGATTAACAGAAAGAAAGCTGTGGAACCCGGCCCAGGGACGTACCCGGGGACCTGCCAGTGCCATTTCTCCAGGCGGGGAGTGGCTCTGTTAAACTGGAGTTCCTGAGTGGAAGAATTCACCCGGCAGAGTTATAACCCTGAACCCTTCAAGAAGAGAGGGCTCCGGCACCTTCTATCCAGACTCTGGTGCGAACGGTGCTTTGGAGCAGTATGTCTAGATACATGGGGCTGGAGGCACCTAGGGTAGAGTCTGAGGTGCATATAGATGGAGAGGCTGGACGACCCTGGAGAGATGGAGCTGGGTGTACTCGGATTCAAGGGGCTGGATGGAGAGTTACAGGATGGAGCTGGGTATACCTGGACGGATCTGGAAGACTCTAGGTTGGAGGGAGCTGGGATGGGGAGGAATTGGAGTGGGCCGGGACAGAGGGACTGGACCCACCAGAATGAAAGGGGCTACGGACTGCGGTCCTTGGTGCAGGACCGTGAGCCTCTAGGCTACGGACGAAAGGCCGGCGCCCCACCCTCGGCCCTGCCACCCACCTGGGCATGCCGTGGCGTAGTCGAAGCAGCAGTCCCCGGTGAGGCGGCAGGCTTGGTCGCAGAAGCACGTCCCATAGATCCTGTCCAGCCTCCAGCCGCGGGCGAAGCAGGCGGGGTCCCGGCCGGGGCAGCAGCGCCCAGACTCCACGCAGCCCGCCAGGGCTCCGGGCCGCAACCGCGCCAGAGCGCACAGCGCCAGCCACAGAATTCTCATAGCCAGCACTCCGCGGCGCGGGCGAAGCACAGACCTTCGGAAGGAGGGCTGACCTCCCCAGAAAGCGGCGGCTCCCCGAACAGCCGCAGCGGCCCCACCACTCGCAGCTCTGCGGGGCCCTGCCCGGAGCGCAGCCTCAACCCCTGAGCGCCGCCCCTCCCCTCAGGGCGGGTACTGTGGCCTCCCAGACCCAGGTGGGGCGCGCTCTCCCCGGCGCCCCGCTATCGGCGCTGAGGGCACCTGCTCCACCCAACGGGACCATCTGCGAGGGAGCGGAGAAGCGAGCGCTCTGGGATCCCAGCGTCCCAACAGCCCACCTACCCTGGCAACAAATTCGGCTTCCTAACGTCTGGGGACACGTTAGCGAGTGGGCATTGTCACTGTCGGGGCGGCGGACGAAACGCACAAGGGGGTCTCAGAAGCGCAGTGCGCACTGGTCACCCTCACTTCGCCCACCGATGCCCTCGCTGCGTTTATCCGGGACACCAGTCCCTGCGACCACAGAGGCCCTCGAAATCGAGATATGACTGAAGAAGCATCCTTCTTACTGCAGCATTTTATAACGGAATGTCCCTACCGGAGGAAAATGCCACTTTGCTTCACTGAAGAAGCACTTAATGAACAAAATAAACTAAGGATCAAAATAGAACCAGAAGCCCTGGCTGGCGTAGCTCAGTGGATTGAGCGCGGGCTGCGAAACAAAGTGTCGCAGGTTCGATTCCCAGTCAGGGTACATGCCTGGGTTGCAGGCCATGACCCCAGCAACCGCACATTGATGTTTCTCTCTCTCTCTCTCTCTCTCTCTCTCTCTCCCCCCCCTCCCTTCCCTCTCTAAAAATAAAATAAAATCTTAAAAAAAAAGTAGAACCAGAGACTTGGAGACATGGAATAGATTGACAGCGACTAGAGGCGACTGGGGAGGGGAACAATCGTGGACAGAAGGGGAAGGGACTAGTGAAAGAACATATGTGAATGACCCACAGACATGGACAACGGTGTGGGGATTGACTGAGGAGGGGGCTGGGTGGAGGACAAAGGAGGAAAAACTGGGACAACTGTAATAGAATAATAAAAAAATGTGACGGGAAGGAGAAATGAAATCTGAATGGTGCTGTTAAAGCAGACTAACCCAAATAAATTCTGCTTAATAGTGTCTTAGAAATACCTTCTGCTTTTATAAAATGCTAGTCTAACTTTGCATACACATTTTCTTCCATCTTTCTCTCCAGATATGTTTTCTGCACCTTTTTTGTTAACCAAAAGTTATCCTGAATGTTTCATTTCCATTTATGTTCTTAAATCATTTAAACTATTATGGTTTTTGTGGGGAACTAAAGTTTTCTGTATCTATGAATCTGAGAAACCTGATTCATCTACAGACAAGCTTTTTTTTTCCTTCCTCTTACAAAAACTTTTCGAAGAGGAATTTTCTCGACTCTTTAGAGAGAAAAGTAACAATGTAGAAAAAACTTTACTATAAAAGTAGAAAAACAATACAATAATCAAACATTAAAAACAAGCAAAGATGTTGTGAAATGAAAAAGACTTAATACATCATAAGAACTGAGACTTAGGAACTCTGATCACAAAGTTTGACCAATGAGAATGTAATCTTTTTCCATCATCCAAGGAAAACACACTCCCACATCAAAAAAGAAATTATTTCTTTATAATTATTTACATAAATCAAGATCAGGGTAGAAAATTTATTTTAGTTTTTCTGTTTAAGTCTCTCTTATGTTTTTCATTTAAATAAATAATATATATGTTTTTAAAAATATTTTTAGCTCTTGGTAGTTGGTACTAAATAGTTTTGTCAGCAAATTATAACCCTCTGCCTTTTACCTGTATTGTAGGTTTTAATAGCAGCTTTGTACTAACTCATTCATGTAATTCATCCCTCATTTCTTCCCCAAGGCTGTCTGCTTTATGGAATGCCTTTAGTTAGATTTATTCTGTAATGCCATTAAAACCTGGAATTGTTCCAGAAAAAGTGTAAAGGAAAATGATTCACTGACAAGTTCATTTTCAAGAATAAAGCAGAAAGTGGAAGAAGATGCTCTCCAATTTAAGATAATTGAAAATACAGTGCCAAATGCTGGCTTAAATATTATTTTTTCATGTCTTTTTCTCTTATCCCCAGACAAAACCAAAACCCCAAAACAAAAAGCAAAAGGTTGGGGGTTTGTTTTCAGGAAGCTTGGGTTCAGTTCTAATGTTACGATCTCTGACAAGTCATCTCAATGCCTTCACCTCAAACGCAAAACACTAACCCTTTTCAGATTGCTGTGACATGTCTGTAGAGATGGGGGCCATGTGTGCAAACTGAACACGAAGCGAGTGCTAAGTGATTATTAGTGCCCTATAATAAGGTCCTCCCCACTCCCACTCTATAACTTCAGCCTAAAGCCAAGGAAACACATGCTCAGTTTTAACAGTGTGCAAAGTAAGGGAAAGCAGAAAGTTAAAAAGAAAAAGACAAAAAACACAAATAAATGATTACTACTTTAATGTCAAACATAGAAGGGAGCTTGTCTCTGAAAAGTCACACTAAGAGAAACTCACAGTCTCAAGTCAAAACTTGCACTGTCTTGAAAACCTCAAGATAAGGAGCCCACAGTGGCCTTTGCAAAGGAAGCAGTTCCTGCCAGAATGCAGCCAAGTCATGGGGGGACACTGGCATTTAAAGCAAGGGAGCTCTCATTCTTTCTGGAAACTGGATACAGTCAAATGTAACAGGTTGTCACTTTCTTTTCCATGTTTTGTAGGAGTTTCCAGAGCAGAAATCATCCCAGTGATTGCGTGGGTGAATATAGGAAGTAATCAAACACACCTTGAAAGACACCCTTTTTTTCTCAAGTGTTGTCATTGGAAGCTGTCCAAGACTGGTCAAATTACAGAGGGGAGCGAAGGCCTTTCTGTCCATCAGAATGCAGTAATTTTAAAGGACATCCACATATATGATCGCATTGGACCTTGCAAAATTGGCACCCCCATTTTGCAGATGACAGAGATTAGACTTGTAGTTAATTAGTGGCAAACTGGACTAGAATGAGTGCAATTCTTCCCATTACTTCAGGCTCGGGGCTGGTGGTGAGATGGTAATGAAAAGTAAGGGACAAGTGAGGTTAAGCACTGTACAAAATACTGTAACTAGTATATGTGGAAATGAAAATAAAAATAATTTGCAAAAAACTTTGGATACATTTAAAATATAAGAGGGATGGGGAGTGATTAAAGGCATCCAGGTTGCCATCAGGAATGTAAGGGAATCTCTCAAGGTTGACAAACTGAGTAGCTGATTCTTAGACAGGTTTTCTGGGCATTTGTCAGAGACAGAATATTGCACGGATATTAATAACATCATACTTTGTTGACTATCAGACACCTGTAACTGTAAGATTCACCATTATTCTATGTAATACTAAGATAGAGAATAGTGTTTGCAGGACTGTAGGATTGTCTCATTTTCTTCAGGCTGCTATAAGAAAACACCATAAGCTGGGTGGTTTGTAATCTTTCCTCACATGTTTGGAAGCTGAGAAGTCCAAAATTAAGGTGCTGGCACACTGGGTGCATGGTGAAGGCCTGCCTTCTGGTTCATAGGCAGTGCCTTCTAGCTGTAACTTCATGTGGCAAAAGGGCTGGGGAGTGCTGTGGGGTCTCTTTTATAACAGCACTCATCTCGAACATGAGGACTCCAGCCTCAAGACCTAAGCACCTCCAAAAGGCTCCCCTTTTTAATCTCATCACCTTGACCATTAGCTTTCCACATATGAATTTAGGGGGCACACAAATATTCAGTTCAAGAATGGATCTCAGTTTCAGAGGTGTTAAAATATGAGAAAATGAGCATCTTAGAATGAATAAAAACTAGAAAGAAGTATTCCTCATTGGAATATTACAAATAATCCAATGAGGCTGATGTTAATTTTCTTATTTGGTTGAAGGGGAAGCTCAGAGAGCTCAGTGACCTCCCCTGTTTCCCAGGGGCTGGAGCCCAGCCCTCTCTAGGCTGAGGGCTGAAGATGGGTGAGAAGCAGTCCTTCCCTAGGGAGACTGAGATCTCATGGAGATGGTAGACATGTGACAGTCACGCGAGTGCTGTGTGGGTGGTGGGAGTCTGCCATGCAGGCTCTGGAGTGGTCAGATGAGAAGACTGAATTTGACTTATAAAGATAGGACTGGGTCACCATTTGTCCCTGTACTTTTTCCTTAGAAAGTACAAATTTAGCCTCTAGGAAATACTCACATACCTTTTGGGAAGGTCCTGCCTGAGGCTGATGCCCATTCAGTTAATAATGCCTGAAGCGCAGGCAGGAATCCAAAGGTTTCTGCTTAAGACTAGTGTACACAACCTTATGTGAGCAATTCTTCTAGAACCTTAGAGCAAGCAGTCAGGGACACCACCGTGGAGGTTGAGGCTGTCAGTTGTGTATCTTTCACCCTATCAGTTAAATTAATGTGGAGCGAATACAGAGGTGGCTTAACAAATGCATTGGTTGCCTGAAAAATACTCATTCTTCCCCTCTTTTTCTAACAGTCTCCCTGACTTTCTTTTCCAGAGGGAGCACCCTCTCTCCTTTTTGTGACAACAGTTCATTCAAGTTACATTAACCTCACTCCCAGCTCTAGTGATGGGATGTGAGGATTAATTCCGTCTTCATTCTATAGACTAGTCCAGAAAGTGGTCCAAGGAGAGCCCAGGATCAGCACATGTGTTCAACAGATGACTCAGTTTCACATTCACCCTTCCTGGATGGGACTGAGAACACATGGAGCTGGAGCCAGGCTGAGATCTTTCCAACAAGCCAGAGAAGCCAGAGCTGGGGATGACACTGGAAGTCACACTTCCCCTTTGCAATCCCCTGCCCCAATAAATCCTTATAATTTATGTCAGTTTTTTGCAGTTTCTGTGGCTTAAAACGAAAGCACCCAACAGAGGTGACATGGAAAGTGAAGAGCTTAGGTTTTAAAAAGAAAAGTCATTTTGAACTGTGGCTTTATTACTTACCATCTATGTGACATGAAAGAAGTTATTGTAAACTCTTCAAGCTTTTTGATTTGTAAAATGGGGACAAAGAAGAAAAGATTAGATAATGTTTATGTGTCCAGTTCAGTTCCTGATATATAAAAA